TCGCTGTCGGTCCTTGGCGGATAGCTTCATTGCAAAGCAAGAGCAGCAGTATAATAAGTCAGGCAGGATAACAGAGAGGATAAACTGCCGTGTTGCCTTCAAACTTAGTTGCCGAAAACACCGTCGAAGAGCGCCAATTTTCGTGCAAGTCTTCCTAACGATAAAGTCTATGTGACCAGACCAAGAAACATCACTGTCTACAATGACTCCCAGGATTCTCGTGCTAGACACTTGAGTCAGAGGCTGTTGGTTAAAAACGATTGGAGTTGAGAGGGGTTGAGAAGACTTAGAAATCATCAAAGTTACAGTCTTTGTTGTATTAATGCGCAGCCCAAGCTCGTCTAGATCCACAGAAATTGCAGATAACGAATCAGTAACGTATACTGTCAGGGAGCATTGTAACATACACAACACATGTAACATACACTTGCCGGGAATATCCTATGCCAGTGCATAGGATATTCCCGGCAAGTGTATAGAGACATGCATTCCGCAAAGTACTTGGATTGACACAGAAAATCCCTATGTTTTGACGTACGACACAAACATGTATGTAAACATGTGGGTTGGGTTGGAGGTCAGGATTACATAATCCAGCACCCTTGTTTATCCAGCAGAAAATGCCGTTGCAAAAGGTGCCGGATTAGAGAGGGACGACTGTGATACTATCATAGTCATTCCACACTAGACAGTGCAGTCGACACTACACAGACTACAGCTAGCTAAACTACAGCTGTACCAGGGAGTCGTATACCCGGGAGGCGACACGCGCATCACTTGTGCACAACCATGATCGACTCAACGATTCAAAATCGACCTGCTCGGTGTGGGACAAGTCCGTACATAGGTCATAGCGCCCGGGGAATCCGTACACTATCATAGCGTCGTCTTCGTCCTTTCGCTGAACTGGTCAGACTTTCGATCTCCATTGCCGAAATACAGCCATCTGTGGTGTGATCGAATCCATGTGTTCAATGCATTCTAGGTTGCTAACATAACAAACCAGACCAGACACGGTATGGACTCATGATTGTATGTAGGTGTGAACAAGTTAGTTTCTGGCAATGTTGTGGTGTTTGGTTTCCGCCCAACATTGTCGATCTGCATGTTTGCACTAGCGTGCAGCTGAACCAACGCAGCCGAACCAACGTGCCTTGCAATGCTTTGCTAGGCTTTTCTTTCACTGTATCTTTTTGGTCACATAATTATAATACCGTACACTTTTCTTACTCAACAGAATCTTAGAACGAAGAAGGAACGGTCGGTTGTTGTCTTTGGCGGTGTGTCGGATCATAGTGCATGCTACTAGGCGCCATTCGGTTACACGGTTCGAACCGGGCAGTGTTGAGATGAGTTGAGTTTTTTGCAGCTCCGGGTTTTTGAGCAGATCTTCGATTGGTTTCAGTGCGGTGCGCGTCATATCGCCAAGCGCGCCATGCAGGGTGGCCACCAATGTTGTCGGTGCAACGGCAAAGGCTCCTGTGTTGGCTGTCACGTGTGCCTGTGTGAAGAGTGGACGGAACTGCCAAAACTGCGGCCCTGCTCAAAATGGAAGGTGCAAGAACCAACCACCCGCGGCGAGCCAGCCATCTTTGCAGTGTACGGGTACGGGCGATACGGTAACGGCGGCTGGGCCTGGGGCCAGCGACAGTGTTGTGGGTACGGGAGCTTGTGTCAGCTCTCAGTCTCAGCAGCTAGCATGGGACCTGCTAGACCGTCAGCTAGATGACCCTGCCAGTGCTGTCGACACAGAGGGTGGCGGTACAGTGACCAGCAGCCAAGTTGACATGCTGGCGACACTGTCCGGCAGCCAACCTAGCGACGGGGACCGATTCGATCTGCCGCTATATCAGAATGCTGAATGTGAAGTCCTGATCGGGGACTTGGACACTGACTCGTCATGCCAGGTAATCAACGCTGCGTATGCAGAGGCAGTCCACTTTAGACCGAATTTGTTTAGCGTGCCTGGAGAGAAGTACGTGACCACCATTGCTCGCCTCTTCCAATGCTTTGGAGACTCTGCGGCCGGGGAAGGCATGGCCATCAAGACATCGATGGTGGCTGCACAACTGCTACTACAGCAACCAGCGCGAATGGTGGACAGGCGAGACCATACCAACTGCCTAGAACGCAGACTGAGGATCTGGAGTGATGGAAATATTGATTTGCTAATGAGGGAAGCCCGCACTATCCAACAGCAGATAAAAGCGGCCTCGCTCAGATCAAGCAAAACCAACAGCACCAGGGATTATGATGATGATGCTAGGAGGTTTGCTGCCTTGGTCATGGATGGCAAGATCGGGACCGCAGCGCGTATGCTGGACAACGACAGCAGTGGTGCCCTGCATTCCCTGGACAACACCATCGGGGATCAAACGGTGCGCGAAGTATTACGTGACAAACATCCCTCTGCTGCACCCCTCCACGTAGACGCCGTTATGGATGGAGAGCCCCTGCCTCAGCCACACCCAGTGATATTCTCAGCCCTTACAAGAGATGTGATCCGCCAGGCTGCATTGAGCACCCATGGGGCGGCTGGACCTTCTGGCATGGACGCAGCCAACTGGCGGGCGATGTGTACATCCTTCCGCTCCGCCTCCGATGCCCTCTGTGACGCGTTAATAGCATGTGCCAGACGCATTGCTACTAAATTCATTGATCCCATCGCACTGGAAGCATATGTGGCCTGTCGTCTGGTGCCGTTGGACAAGAAGCCTGGTGTTCGGCCGATCGGAATAGGCGAAGTGGTCCGTCGCATTATTGGCAAGGCGATCCTCAAAGTCGTTGGACCAGCAGTGGAGAGTGCTGTTGGATGCCTACAACTATGTGGAGGTCAAGCGGGTGGTGTAGAGGCTGCCATCCATGCAATCAAATCGACCTACGATGATGACGAGACGGAGGGTGTCCTATTCGCAGATGCAGCCAACGCCTTCAACTGCATCAACCGTGCAGTATGCCTGCGCAATGTGCAGCGACTATGTCCGGAGCTGGCACCAGCGCTTATCAACACTTACCGGTCACCTGCTCAACTCTATGTTGGAGGAGAAGTTATTATGTCATCGGAAGGCACAACGCAGGGCGACCCCCTTGCGATGCCATTGTATGCACTAGGTACGGTGCCTCTCATCAGGGAAGCCTCAACTGCTGGCACAATACAGTCATGGTATGCAGATGATGCCACATCAGCTGGATTCCTGCGCAGGATACGTACATGGTTGTCCATCCTGATCGATCGAGGTAGCAAGTACGGTTACAACATCAATCCGTCCAAGTCGGTCCTGCTTGTCAAGCCTCGTTTCCTGGAATTGGCAAGAGAACTCTTTGCCAACACTGGGGTTGACATCAGGACGGATGGCTATCGTCATCTCGGTGCTGGTCTGGGCACAGATCAATTCTGCTCTGAGTACGTGTCCCAGAAGGTCGCATCGTGGTGCAACGAAATACACGTCTTGGCCAAGTACGCAGCATCCCAGCCTCAAGCAGCCTATGCCGTCTTCACTCATGCCCTACGGCACAAGTGGTCTTTTCTGGCCAGGACCATGCCTGCTATCTCTGATCTCCTTGTGCCCCTGGAACAAGCCATCCGCCTCATCTTTCTGCCAGCACTCACTGGTCGCCAAGCTCCGGGTGAAAGCGAGCGCATGATGCTATCGCTCCCCTGTCGCAATGGTGGCCTGGGACTCATCATCCCCACCGGTTTATCCAGCCAGTACTCCGCCTCTGTCTCCATCACCAAACCACTAGTGGAGAGGCTACTGAAGCAGGAGGAATCCACTGAAGACGTGTTTGCTGCCATCAAAGCCGCCAAGTTGGATGTACGTGTGACCGCACGCCATGATCAAGCTGTGGCCCTGTCCTCCTTCAGGGACCAGCTCAGCCTGGACGACCAAAGGATCTTGGATCTGGCTGCGGAGAAGGGCGCCTCAAGTTGGCTCACGTGTCGGCCATCTCGCCGCTTTCAATTCACAATGCCAAAGTCGGGATTTCGCGATGCCTTGTGCCTACGATACGGCTGGACACCTCCCCGACTGCCGACTCATTGCGTCTGCGGCAAGCAGTTTGACACGACGCATGCACTGTCGTGTTCGGTTGGTGGATTCCCTGGAATGCGGCACAATGAGATTCGCGACCTCACCGCCAATTTGCTGCGGGAAGTAGCCCACGATGTTTGTGTGGAGCCTGCACTGGAGCCCCTGTCCGGTGAAATGTTCCCTCTTCGGTCGACCAACATCGAAGACCATGCTAGGCTGGATGTGGCAGCGCGGGGGTTGTATGGGAGTAGGTTTGAGAGGACAATGTTTGATGTTCGGGTGTTCAACCCTTTTGTCCCCTCAAATCGAAACCTTACACTCCCGTCTGTCTACAGAAAGCATGAGCAGGAGAAGCGGAGGAAATATGAGCGGCGAGTTCTGGAGGTAGAGCACTCCTCTTTTGTGCCCATTGTCTTCTCCACCACTGGTGGACAGGGAAAGGCCTCATCTGCGCTGTTTGCCAGGATTGCCAGCAAACTGAGCGACAAGCGCAACGAGCCTTTTTCCGTCACCATGGCTTTCGTCCGGACCAAACTGTCCTTCAGCCTAGTGAGAGCCATGGTTGCTAGTCTGCGCGGCTACCGGCGCTCTTCAGTGCCACTTCCTGTTCACTCGGCTGTTCTGGCGGCTGCTGAGTGTTCATTGTAAGCGTATGACACAAGTACGGTGGATGTACATGGAGTTGCTTACCTCTCTTTCTTTGTTATCTTTTCTTTTCCTTCATCTTTTTCTTTTTTCTCTTTTACGTTTACTTTATACCAGGCGTGGGCCATCCCCTGTACATAGGTGCCATCATTTTTCTTTGTTTCTTTTTGGTCAAATTACTCTGCAGTGCTGTTCAAAAAAACAAAACAAAACAAAACAAAAAAAAAAAAAAAAAAGTTACAGCACTTTTTGGTGCCGAAACCCGGGACTCAGGAGTTTGTGTTGTAACTCGGATTAATCGGGCGAATTGGGTAGCAGTGCGAGATGGCCAAAGTCGAATGCTTCTTGAGACCGTTCCGCGGGGGTCGGGATGACCTGAGCGAATTCTGGGCGAAGTTCTCAGTTGTCGCGGACTTGCAGAAGTGGGACTCGGACGAAAAGAAGATGGCGAATCTACAGCTCTATCTCGAGGGTGAGGCGTTCACCGTGTGGAACGAGATGGCGGCAGCGGATAAGAAGAAGCCGGCCGATGTGAAAGCGAAGCTGACCGCCGCTTTTGGGATGGCACCGGATCAAGCATACTCGATGTTTACGTCCAGGATCTTGCGAGGAGACGAGTCGGTGGACAACTTCGCAGCGGACTTGAAGAGGCTTCTCACCTTGTCTGGTGAGCAGGTTGATGCTGATGGGAAGAATAAAATAGTGATCGGGCAGTTTCTCTCCGGGCTCCCCTCTCAGTTTGCGAAGGAGCTCCGTATGAGTGGAAAAACGGACACCATCGACGATTGCGTGGAGTACGTCAGGCGGCTTAGAAGCGTGGAACGATCGATGAAGCCCGGTGTGGCAGCAGTGAGCTACGGTGCTCTAGACGATCGGGCTCCATCAGGCTCTTCCAGGATGACCGCTGCAGCAGGTGTAGGTTGCGACTCCGCAAGACGTGTCCTGTGCTACAAGTGTGGTCAAGTTGGCCACTTCAAGCGGAACTGCCCTGCGAGCACTAGTAGTGGTACCGGTAGCCACAAGCAAGCCAAACACAGTCAGCTGACGTGTTTATTCTGCGACGAGGCTGGGCATATGATAAGAGATTGTTCGGAGTTCAAGGCCTTCAAGCAGAAGAAGCAGCGGGGTGGGAGTGCAGCCGCTGCTCCTGTGCACTCTGGTGATCATGGTAACTCCAAGGTGTTATGCCTGAGCAGTGGAGGTGACAGTCTGCCACGGATCTTTGTGGACATCAAACGGTCCGGCGGTCCAAGCAAGCGTGTAGTAGCTGCTGTGGACACCTGTGCATCCCGCTCCCTTGTAGCTAGCGCCCTGGCAACCGACCTAGCTTTGGATATCAGGCCTACGTCATCGACAATTAATGCGATCGATGGCAGTCCGGTGGATGTCCGTGGCGTCGTGGAGTGTACAATCTCACGGCTGGATAGTGCTGTGGTTCGCCTACGTGAGACCGAGACTGACATGCTGGTGGTGGACGACCTGTCTGTCGTGGAGGCTGATGTGCTGATTGGAGTTAACAGCATCGCGACTCTGGGTGGTGTGCATATGCAGTATGACGCAGGAGAACTGGTGGGGGTTGTATTCGGGACCGTCAATGCTGCATGCCCATTGGTGCTGGCGTCGAGCACCCCAGATGAGCATCCATCACGCCCCGAGTCGGAAGCACGAGCCGTCGCTGAAGACTTTCACCACGCGGACGTGGAGAAGCTCAGCAATGGCGATGTTGTGCTGCGGGCATCAGATATGATCCTCCGGTGGAGTACGGCTGACAAGGCGTGGGAGGTGCAGTGGCAATGGGCGGACAAGACGGAGCCGACTACGTGCATCGGGTCAGGCCTTGGAGAGTACCCACGATCCAAGCTCTCCAAGGAGCAGGAACAGCTATTTGGAGATGAGGTTGAAAAATGGCTCGGCAACGGCTGGCTAGTGAAGCATGACGTCGAGAAGCATGGTGAGCCGAGATGTGTGCTGCCTCTGCTCGCTGCTACGCAGGAGCATAAGGCATCAACGCCAGTTCGGCCCTGCCTCGACTACCGGCTCCTCAACCAGAAGCTGACGTCGCACCCTGGCACCGACGCTCCGGCATGTGGCGAGACGCTACGGAGGTGGCGTCAAGCGGGCGTTCCGCAAGCGTATCAGCTGCTGGATATCAGCAAAGCGTACCTACAGGTACGCATTCATCCCGATTTGTGGCGTTATCAGTGCGTGGTGTGGCGTGGCGAAGTGTACGTCCTGGAGCGGATGGGCTTCGGGCTGTCCGTGGCTCCAAAGGCAATGGACTTGATCGTGAAGTGGGCCACGCGTGATCTCGCTGGCGTAGACAACTACGTGGATGATCTCTACGTCCCAGAGCAGCTCGTCGACCGCACCAAGTCGCGGCTCCTGGAGTATGGCCTGCCAACCAAACCGGCTGAGCCAGCCATGAGTGCGCGTGTGCTAGGTCTGCAACTTCAGGCTGGTGACGAGGGGAGTGTGTCGTGGACGCGTCGCGAAGGTGTGTCTCTACAGCTACCCGACAAACCAACGAAGCGCGAACTGTTTAGTTGGTGTGGCAGAGTGATTGGGCACTACCCTGTGTGTGCCTGGCTGCGCCCATCGTGTTCGTATGCCAAGCGCCTTGCCTGCACGTCAGAGGTGGCATAATATCAGGCTGTACCGGATGCTGTCTTGAAGTGTTGCCGCGACATTGTTCACCGCCTGTGCAATGATGATCCCGTTAGCGGAGTGTGGTACGCTGACCCAACGATGGGTACGTGGCGAGCGTATTGTGACGCGTCCAACCTGGCAATTGCCACGGTGCTCACGCAGGATGGCAAGGTTGTCGAGGATGGTTCATGGTTGCGAGACAAAGCAGACAAGCGTCATATCAATGTGGCGGAGCTCGAGTCGTCTCTGAAGGCGCTGGATCTGGCCATCCGGTGGGACGTCAAGAACCTGACCATCGTGACCGACTCGAAGACGGTTGCTGGTTGGTTGCGCTCGGTCTCGCAGAATACTCATCGCGTGAAGGTCGGGGGTCTCCACGAGTCTCTCGTCCGTCTCCGCCTGCAGGTGTTTCAGGACACTGTGGCTGCTGCTGGCATGACGGTGTCCGTGGAGTGGGTCCCCTCGGAGTCGAACGTTGCAGATCGGCTCACCCGCGTGCCGACCTCATGGCCTCCCTGTCGGGAGGAAGCAGGTGAAATCGCAGCAGCGCTACCAGCAAGCTCTATGAAGGGGCCAACGTCGATGCGGTCTATCCGCGGGTGCCAAGCGGTAGATGCGGACGTGCAGCTGACAGTGACACAGCTACAGGATGGAAAGCAAGTGACGAGCCAGCTGTACAAGAAATCAAAGGGTCAGCTGCGTGTTATTGATGGCGTCCTGTACCTCAGTCGTGTGGACCCCGTCGATGGTGATGTGATCGTACCGGTCCTGCCTACTGCACTGCAGAGTGAAGCCGTCGGTGCTGCTCACCGCAACACCGGACATGGTAACTGGGAGACCATGTGGGGCAGTCTTCGGAAGTGCTGTCATTTCCCACAGATGGCGCAACGCTGCCAGGAAGTCGTCCGAGACTGCGGGACGTGCTGTGCAGCGAACCCGTCGCGAGGAGAGCCCAACCCTCCAGCCGCGAGAAGCGACCTACCAACCAGGCCGTGGGAAGTCATCCAGATTGATACGTTAGAGCTGGGACCCAGCCGCAGTAGTTCCTACCATTGTGTCCTCGTGTGTGTGGACATGTTCACACGGTGGGTGGAAGTCGTACCCCTAGCCCGCCATGATGGTGTCAGTGTCGCGGAGGCGCTTGTTGGTATTTGCGCCCGGTTTGGCCCACCAAGCGTAATTCGATGTGACAACGGCACGGAGTTTGTTAACTGTGTGGTGTCGTCTCTGCTATCGATATTCGGCGTACATGTGAGGCATGGAGCTGTGCGCCACCCTCAGAGCCAAGGGGGAGCCGAGCGCTTCAATCGCACGCTGCTGGGTCTTATCCGCAAAGTGGTCGAGTACAGCAGCGATTGGCAGACAGAGCTGAGCATGCTGCTCTACTACTACAGGGTGCGGCCGCACAGTGCTACTGGGATTTCGCCATGCGCCGCAATGATGGGATGGGAACCACGCAACCTCCTGGTCGAGTGCGAGGAAGAAGACCTCAGTTTGTCAAGCTGGGTTGAAAGCTTGGCAGAGAAGACGGCACGTGTGCGAGACCTCGTAAACGAAGAGCTCTCCCGGAACGACACAGAGAGCGTGATCGAAGGAGCAGAGTACAGCGTAGGGGATGCGGTGCTGTTACGTCGGCCTTCCCGGAGCCGCAAATGCCTGGCACCGTACGAGCCTGGGTGGCGCATCGTTCGCGTTGTGTCGCCGTCGACAGTTGTCATCACCCGGGCTGTTGATCCACACTCAGCGGAGAAGATTGTCAACGTGGAGATCATCAAGAGGGATGTCGCCCGTGACTTGGCCCAACCAACAGCGCCGATGGACGACAGTGCAGCGGCAACAGATGATGGTTATCTGTACCAGCCAGCATCAGTGCTGCCAGGCCCTGAGCCCAACATTGGGGATGGCGGCATTCGCATGTCCCTGCGAGACAGATCTGCCATTAGGCCACCGCAGCGCTATGGCTCCTGAAACTGTACATGTGCCGTGTTATCAGTCTAGCTTGGCGCGTGCTTAGTTAGGAGCAAGCTAGCAAATGCAAGACCCATTACGCATTTTGCTGTTCTCTTGTTTAGCTGTTGGTGGAGTGTTGTTCTTTTCTTTGGAGAACCTTAGTTCTACGTTTTAGTGCAAGTTCCCTGTTTTGTTGTGTTACCAGGGGGGAATGTGTGATCGAATCCATGTGTTCAATGCATTCTAGGTTGCTAACATAACAAACCAGACCAGACACGGTATGGACTCATGATTGTATGTAGGTGTGAACAAGTTAGTTTCTGGCAATGTTGTGGTGTTTGGTTTCCGCCCAACATTGTCGATCTGCATGTTTGCACTAGCGTGCAGCTGAACCAACGCAGCCGAACCAACGTGCCTTGCAATGCTTTGCTAGGCTTTTCTTTCACTGTATCTTTTTGGTCACATATAATACCGTACACTTTTCTTACTCAACAGAATCTTAGAACGAAGAAGGAACGGTCGGTTGTTGTCTTTGGCGGTGTGTCGGATCATAGTGCATGCTACTAGGCGCCATTCGGTTACAGTGGCCATCGCTGAGGAGTTCACTAATAAAGGGTCTTGTTCACTGGCTTACTCACTGGCTTTGCACTGCCACTCGAACTCTGAGGCACTTTGACCACCTAAGATGAGGTAATCCTTTCTTTACAAATTGCCTCAATATTTTCTCACCTTTAGGGCAATGAAGTAATTTTTTTCCTCGTGACTAACTTCGACCGACCAAGTTGCCCTGTCCCAGTGATCTACAATACTTATATTGTACATTTGTGAAATGTTGGACCTATCCAGATAAACGAAATGACTTTTATTCCAAATTACATTTTTCAAAGTTTTCCTTCACAAATAGTCCCAATTTCTTCTCACCTTTAGGGCAATGAAGTCAATTTTTCTTCAGGACAAACATCGGCTAACAAAGTGGCGCTGTCCCAGTGATCTACAATACTTATAATCATTGCACATGTGAAATATTGGGAGTCACAGAGTGAGGAAATGGCCTAAATTGAAACTTGAACTGTTCTGCCAAGTTTTATGCAGTGAACGCAGGGCTGAGAGCCCGCAAGAGCCATCCCGGAAGATCTTGTGCGCCACCAACCGAACCTTCGGTGAATGTTCACAAGGTTAGAAGCTCGCACAGGTAACACACATTGGATGCTAATAGTAATACAATGCACTCAGGAATGTGTGCAAATAGGACAGAATTAATTCCAAATAAAGTCAACAATAGCTGCCTCAACACAGTGCTATCAACCTTCCGTATTTTCCATATTTGTACGGAAAATCACTACTTCGTCCGCGCTATGGATTTTGAGAAAAATGTACGGAAAATTGAACGGGATTGATCAGTATGTATAAGCATTGCAAGTGCAAGCTGAGCGATGAAAAGAAGAGAACCGAGTGGAAAGAAAACGCTGCAGTGGAGAGTCCTTAGAAAAGACTTAAAAAATATCAATAATATCGCTGCATGAGATCATCCTTATAAGTTATAACGTCAGCTGATCGTACTGTGGTTGATTCATACGGCGGTAAATACACACCTGCCTACACACGCTCTCTAAACTGAAAAGTTATTCTGGCACAGAGCTCTCCTTCCCGCCACCACCACCATCATCAGTTCGCGTCTGGTGCCTAGTCGATGCAGGGTGAGTGGTGTCCGACATAGCAGGCTGGTACATCAGGTAGCGTATGGCGCATAGCAGATGACACAGCAACAACATAGCTTGATTGCGACGTACCTTTCGTCCCGGCTGGACTCATCAGGCAATCTTCTTCTTAGATGTCTTCACAAGGAGCTTGACTCGGGAGAATAAAGTTGAAGACTCCACTGCAACTGCACTTATGGTTGGTTCATATGGTGGTAAATACACACCTGGCAGTATGGGGGTAAATCCACGCCTGCCCAGACACGCTCTCTAAACTGCAAAGTTATTCTGGCACAGAGCTCTCCTTCTCACCACCACCACCACCACCACCATCAGTTCGCGCCTGGCGCCTAGTCGATGCATGGTTAGCGGTATCCGACATAGCAGGCTGGCACATCAGGTAACGCATGGCACATAGAAGATGGCAACGACATAGCTTGATTGCGACGTACATTTCGTTCTCTCGGTTGTGCTGTAGCCTGAAAAAGGAAATAAGACAATGCATCCACATGACACAGACAAGTAATTACTGTTACAAATAATGCATACTGCTTGATAACAGAGAAAGAAAGTCAGTGGTCACACAAGTTTTTGGTCGTCCCTGAAACGAAGATCGTTCCAGGGGGGGGGGGGGGGGGGGGGGGGAGCTAAAATCTCAGTCGACTGACGCTATGCATACACATGTACATGCATGCGATTTTCGTCGTCCATTCATTTCGGAGGGTGGAGAGGAGGTCCGAGTACGAAATGAATGATGTTTTTTTTCAGGGATGACTAATCACTTTTGCGATGACCCCTTATTGCATCAATTTATCGTCTGAACTGCGCAATTGAGTCCCACTTTTATTATGTTGGGTCCAGATTTCAAGACTCGTGAAGTTCGAGGCGAAAAGCAGGCCGATGAAGGGACGCCAGTAATTCAGTCTAGTCCGGTTTCATGGAGAGGGGCCGATGAACCGGCAACAAGATAATTCAATACGTATGCTACTCTTCAGTTCATTGCTGGGGAAGACTACTCAAGGCCACGTCACTCCGGCAATTCAATGTACAAATCAGCAGCAACACTTGCAAACGTATTCCTACCAGCTGACCAGCAAGTTATCAGCCATCAGCTCTTCAAATAATTTCAACTTAACAAAGAGAGGAGATGGACAGATCGGAAAGTATCGTGGCAAGCTCAGGACAACACACGTCCGGCCCTATGTAACAACAGTGGAAAGTGCGTGCCATGGTATATTTTCGAAGGCATATCAAGAACCAGCTAATGTGGACTGGGAGTCCATTTGCATCGTCCGATCAGCTGCTACAAGTGCCGTGAGCCAATGGCAAACACGTTTGACAGAGACTACTACCTCTACTGAATGCAACTTTGGCATGGCAGAGATCTACAAGCACGTTATCTTATCTATCAATAGAGTTGTATCCTCGTATGACTATGTGAAGTGTGAGGTCGTACTGTACTGCAGACGCGTCTACGACCTGGTTGGAAATGTACGCAACAGTTCCCACCCTCTTGACCAGAGATCGCACACACCCTAGGGTTTTGATGGGTTTGTACGACTCCCAGCTCTTGACTTTTGTTGGGTGTACGAGACGCACGCACAGTTTTCTTAGGGTGAGTACTTTTTCATGTAGTACTGAATGCGGCAAGCAGGACTCGCCCATCCGCCCCTCCCCAAATGGATCTACTCGAATGGTTCCGGAGGTAGGGGTGCTCTGGCGGGATTTTACGACATACACAAGCGCGCACACACGCACACAATATACACACGCACGCACACACACACATACACACGAACGCACGCTATGTCGCACGTCTTGGGCATGGCTTCGTGAATACAAATAATAATTTAATGTTATAATTTATAGTATCCAAATGTTAGAGCAGGTTTACAAAACCTACCGTTCAATACCGGATCATCTTGTGACAGCTTCCTTGCAACACCCATGACTTGACCCCACTTCGTCTTGACGTCGGGAAATCGTTCACACCGGAGTTGGGACACGACTCATTGAAATCCAGGCCTATCTGCAGCTGGGAGCAGGACAGAGCTGATGGACGTCAGCAGCGGCTGTAGAACAACCATAAACGAGTCTTCTTTCTCCGCAGTCAGGCGGGACAGCAGCTTTGCAACGCAAGCTTCTTGCCTGCTACATGTGGGTCTTTAGCGGCTGGGATTCGGAACGCTCTGTAGAAACCATTGAACAAGTGCTGCACTCTATCAACCCACAAGATTAGTATTTCTTCCAATTCATGATTATTCGCAACTTTTTATGCAGTACGCGCACCAGATCAGAAGCCGCTAAGTAGCAAGGTTGAAAGTCTCAAGACAAATTGAAAAATATAATAACATAGAAAATTAGAATTCAAACCATACCTGTGGCCCAAGCCAATACAGACTGAGCGTTCACGCGAAGAGAACGTAGATCTACGTCAGCTGAGGTTTCCTTAGGATCAGGAGGTGATTCTTGACCCGGATCTGGATCGCGATCAGCAGCACTCTCTGCCTCAATCACGATCATCAAATGCAACTAATTACTTGGAAAAGTAGTTCATTCTTCTTCTTCTTTTCGAGCTACGATTTCCCACGATCCTATCGATCCTGCACGAGTCCGTTCCCCAAGGAGTGCACTCCCAAAGTCCCATGGCATAATATAAGTACGCGGAGTAGTTGGTTTATAACTCAGGGCACGCACCGGGGATATCTGAGGGAAAAGTGGGAGAAAGTGCCGCGAGTCAATCATAGTCGGCCCGGAAGGCCTCGTGTCGCCTCCCGGGTCTATACGACTCCCTGCTTGGATCCATACAAAACTGGATCCAAGTGGATCCAGTTTTTGAAATTGTTGCTATGCTGTGACGTCGCACTTTCAAGCCCTATACCTAGCGAGAGTAGGCCAAAGCAAGCTAGCCAAACAAACCCCAAAGAGCCAGCCTGGAAGCCGCTGTGTGAAATCTAATGATCTTATTATAGGAAGGTAATTGAACAAGTGGACATATTTACAAAACTCTTACATGTACATGAGCACCGTGAATATGTTTTTTGTATTAGATGAACATGGATGTGAACGTGCAATTACAGCTACTCATGAATAATTGGCAACAAAGTACATGTATGTCTGCAACGTCAGCGACAACGTTGCCATGGGAACTGAACAACAAATGAAAGCAAATACATTGTATTGTATCGTAAATACTATAAGTAGGTTTACTATTGAACCTAAACAAGAGAAATGTTGTTCTTTGTATTTTGAATTCGCAAGAAATCCAACACGCACGCATCTCGATCTCAACAACAATGTTGCCATGGAAACTGAACACTGGTCATACTGCCCATCAGGCATCACCCTCCCTCCCTCCCCCTCAAAAATTAATTGGCTGAGAAAATTCAAAGAGAAAAACACCCTTGTAAAATAAATAAAATAATAATAATAATATTAACTGGTTTGAGGGAAAGAGACAAACGGGAAAAGTCTGAAGAAAAAATTGACTGCCACCACCAGGACTCGAACCAGGGACCCTCGCTTGCAGCCAGCGATGCTCTAACCACTGAGCTATGGTGTAGTCGTCATCCCAGCAGAGGCCCTTCAACACCCTCCTCAGACTTCATAACTCACACTTCCTGTGAATCCACACAGGCGGGTGGGACGCAGCCCTCACTGTAACCCACACACTTCACGTACAAACTAGCACGCGGGGAGCCCCAAGTCATAAAATATATAGCAATAAAAACTAGGGCTCAAACGATTAGTCCGATTAACCGGTTGCAGACCGGTTACGAAGAATTAACGGTTAACCGATAAAGATAACGGTTACGCTGTAACTTTTCAGTCAATTTTTCAAGTATCAGGTCGTTGCAAAGTGTGCACTTTCGCTGGCTGTCGCACGCGTACTGGGCTGTCAACTCGGTCATATCTAGATATCTGGTCTCTTGGTGTGAGAGTATGTATGAATGAGCATGCAAGAGAATGTACATGTGTGCGTTGTACTGAATAGGGTACATTTTTTGAATGAGTATAGTCAAATATACGGTTAAAAAAGGAGTCCGCAGGATTGCCGTGGCTTATAGGTTATAACCGGTTAACCGACCGTTAGCTTAGCAGTTAACCGTCAGGGGTAAAACCGTGACCGTTTGAGCCCTAATAAAAACTGCTTTATGGCAGTTTCCTAAAAAAGGTTATTGTGTTCTAGTCCATGGACCCCGTCTAAAAAGTAAGAAATTAACGAAATGTGATAGCCGAAAATTAAAATTTCACACAAAACCTCACAATGATCACAACACTTGAAATGCTGCTTTCAACACTAAACTTGTACTGCACCAACAATTGGCAACATGCATGCATAGGAAAGAGGATCACGAGGAGAAAAGGTCTTCTACGGTACATGTAGCTTTTCATTCTGTGTGTGATTATTGTGAGGTTTTGTGTGAAATTTTAATTTTCGGCTATCACATTTCGTTAATTTCTTACTTTTTAGACGGGGTCCATGGACTAGAACACAATAACCTTTTTTAGGAAACTGCCATAAAGCAGTTTTTATTGCTATAATTTCTTTTGTTTTTTCTGTCACCAATCAATGGAATGCCCTATCATTAGGCTAGCTATCAATAGTGATGGCCTTAACATCATACCAATACCGTATTTATACGCATGATGTGCAAGCCTCTTCTTGCAGAAAATGGCACTAGCATAATGCATGTTCTTCGGCGGGGAAACATGCGAGTCGTGGTCTGGTGGTGGTACTTTTTTATACGGAGGTCATTCTGTGCATGTTGCAACTTGCTGTTGCAGAATTTCATGACCCTGTCATAAAATTGTCTTGCCTTTCAGATATTTCAGATTTCTCCACCCTCGATCAGATTTATTTGAGAAATGTAGCCAGGTGCGTGTCGCAGATGTTTTTGTTGATTCTTTGTTTATAATGGTTTATAATCATGGGTTATCGTGATAAGGTCATCCTGCAACATATTGCACTGCAATGGTAATCCTGTTGATGCCGATACAACTTTTGGAAGTAGTTCAATGACTTCAAACTGTTAGTCCACGATTTTCTAAAACAACACAGCAAAGGAGAAACAATAAACTTGTATTAAAATGTAAACAGATAAATTGCTGAGTCCAAAACCTCGTTCCAACAACTACTGTAAGACATGTATATATAACGAGGAAGCAAATCTAACGTTTTAACGGATGACATTTCTTCGTTATAATAAGATCCGTTGAGGCCGTACTGCTTCATATATGCTGTGTGTGGATATGGCAGAATACTGCAAGATCGTTAACATATCTTCTCGTTAACCTATGGATTTTGGACAATCGTTAAATTTGCGACTCGTTATAATAACATGTCTTACAGTACACTGATCCTGAGGATAAAAGGGGCAAGGCTATGGTTGGTTATCTTTTGGCGAGTATGAATGATATCCAGTCGAACCTCTTTAGGACGAACACCAAGGGACCGATGGTATTTATTCTGTTAGTTTGTCTTAAGAGAGCATGTCTGAGAAAACCAGAACATATGTGCAAGTCGATCTCTCAGATTTCGCTCAAATTTTGCAGGTAGGTTTGCTTTGGGGTGTAGATTGACATTCCAAAGCCCGCACAAAATCTTTTGAAGGGAACCAAGAAATTGGCATACCCCTCAATATTGGCCCAATATTGGCACGATTTATGGGTCTACAAACGAGCTACGGCACAGCGTACAAGAACAAGGTACGAACAAAACTCCATCAAGCCAACATTACCTCACCTTAGAAGAGTTCTTGGGGCAGCACCACTTAGCCACGCCAGCATCCCAGAAGACGGGGGCAATCATCCCTTGACGCCACAAATGATCGTCTTTAAAATAGCCAAATTACAAGCGCTGATAAAACTGCGAGCTACGTCCTCAATTAGCAAACACTATACACCGGCAGATAGTAGAACACCTCGTCTAGCACTGAGGACATGTCCCCCATCATCCTTTTTGGGTTTTCTTGAAATAAACAATTTTGAATTTTTCCACTCGACCATTCTGAAATACGTCCAAACTCATACCTGCGCAGGAAAGCTCGCCCCTCCGCGACGTCTAGTCAGCAATGTCTACTGCAACACCACTCCCAACGCTGCAGAACAAAGTGTATTGTTGACTCTGACAAGGAAAAGCAGCGGTGATCACTTGTCACTCCAAACGACAAGCTTCTCCTTGTGCCACCAACATAATTCGGTGCAGCAGTTGATGCAAAAGTGACTGAATTTTTGCGTGTAGTTTTTGAATTTTACTGCAAGAGGAATGAAGAAATCACGTGCATCGTGACGTAGGATAATGCTTTCTGGTGCACGACACAATGCACATGATCACGATCGTTCCCGAGGCGCTATTCGAAACGGACCATGAGGGAGGAGGTAAGATGCATTATATTTCTTGCATGCTCTGCTCAGAACATTCAGAAACTATCGTTATAGCACTAGCAGTATTGCATTGGCAAGAATTCTTTGAGATATTTCCTCTTGCAGTAAGAACAGGGATGCATTTTTTCACACTAACCTCGCTCATCCCGAACATGGTTCAACAGGAACTACGGCTAGTTTACATGCTGATGATCCACGTAGATCTGCAACAGCAAGGAATGACCGTTGTCCATGGCATCAAGGTCGCTTGGAGTTGACCAGCGCGCGGCCTACATTGGTTGCATGGTATATGGGGTATGTGGCGCGCCCACATGGCAGATTTCTTACGTCATGAACAACGTGATTTGACCCTACTCGCCCTAGTCTGTGTGCTGCATATTGAGGGAAAGTCCCGGCTGGAAGGCCTACAACACGACATGCGTGCTCTTGAGCTGGACATCAAGATGCACTTGATCCGATCTTGATCAACGGGTGATCCATGTAAGTGCAGGTGCGCTTGATCAAGGTGACTCGAAACAACTGCTGAACCGTGATCTACGAGACCTGGCATTCTTGTGTCACGAACCACGTGATTTCATCATTCCTCTTGCAGTAAAATCCAAAAACTACACGCAAAAATTCAGTCACTTTTGCATCAACTGTTGCACCGAAAAATGTTGGTGGCGCAAGGAGAAGCTTGTCGTTTGGAGTGACAAGTGATCACCGCTGCTTTTCCTTGTCAGAGTCCACAATACACTTTGTTCTGCAGGGTTGGGAGTGGTGTTGGAGTAGAAA